AGCTTCTTGACCTTGATTTTCTTCACTGTTTCATCTCGTAGGTCATTATGCCACTTGGAGTCGGCGCCTGCCTCATCAAGTCCTAGGCTAAGGCAGGCAAAAGCTCAAGACCGAATTTGCATGGCAGAACGAGAGAGCCCTTCTGCATAAACTAGAATTCGACTCATTATAAGGCGAGCATCTTTCCCATGATGGAGCTTGTCTCATGTAGTAGGCAATGTAGTCGACATATGCCATCTGCTTGTACTTCACGTCGTTGCTCGTCCGGTTCCCTGCGCATCAAGTTGGATCGCGAATCTGAATCTAGTCTAATAGTCTATGTTTGAAACGGCAGCCCTGGTGACTCTGGCGAAAGGCGATATTGAACAACAACATTCTTCGTACCGGCTACAGGTAAACACCGAAGGTCACCGAAGTCATAACAAAAACACAACATGGTTTACGCACCGTGTCTGAATCTTTCTGCCGCACAGTGGCACAGCGGGCTTGGAACCGACCAAAAGCATTTCCAATGGTAAAGATGCACTACAACCGATTGCAACCCAACACAATACAGCCAGGATCCCGAACGAGAAATTTCCAGTACTAAAGTTCTTCTACAACCACGCACAATCCAGCCAGGACCCCAAACGATGCATTTCCAATGCTAAACTAAAACCACGCGCAATCCAGCCAGCTTCCCAAACGAAGTATTTCCAGTACTAAAGCTGTACTACAACCAGGCACAATCCAGCCCGGACCCCAAACGAGACATTTCCAGTACTAATGTTGTAATACAACCAAGCACAAATCTGAACAAGGCATTTCCAGTACCACCAAACACAATCCAGCCAGGAGGCACTTCCGATACTTAAGTACTACAACCAAGCACAATCCAGCCAGGACCCGAAACGAAGCGTTTTCCGGCACTAAAGTTGTATTGCAACCAAGCACAATCCAGCAATGATCCTAAACGCATCTGCAGTAGTAGAAAAAGGTACTTTGGCAAGGAACTCGTCTCAGCAACTACACTGCGAAATGTTACGAGTTACGACTCTTACAAGGGCCCGGCCTGCAGTGCGAGCTTGGATGACGGTGCTGAAGTCGAAACCCTTCACGGCGGCAACGTCACTTTGTTTTTTTACCTGGCTTACAAACCTCGGAGTCGCAGAACGTAAGCAAGCCCTGGTAATACTTTGCGAGGTTGCATCTTTCTGTGTCGAGCAGACTCATGAGCACGCCGCCTAGGTTCGCTTGTTCATGCCACCTCCTTCTCGCTGCAGTATGCTTGCTGCATAGCATGAGCACACTGCTGCCAGTCGGACCCTTCTTCGTCACCAACTTCGTATCACAGACAGCACAACTGCACCCCGGAGTCGACGGCTCCGACATCACACAGCGCCACTGTTCGAGTCCCTCACGGACTCGAACACAGCACTGCAACACAGTCCTCTGTGCACTCACATCCTTGATCCATGATTCATGACCCATGAATGACAGGAGGCACGAGACAAACAAATGCTCTGACGATATATGTTGGAAGCAACAACTGCGCTCCAGCTCGCATCATCACAAAGAGCCAATGCAAGCTTGGTTTCCCTGTTAGACTGACTTGTCTGTCATACAGTCGAGTGTGACTGCAGAGATGTTGCCAGGGCGGCCGGCGGCCATAAAAAAAATCCACGGCCCACAGCTGATGGCCTGATGGCCACTGGTGGCCTCATGGCCTAGTGGCCTAGTGCTAAATGCATCCCCGATTGCAGGCGCGACCCTCGCAGCCGCACGGCTCAAACATCGCCTTCTGTGAACTCATGCATCCTCAGGCAAGATAGAAGAATGCACCACATTGCTCCAGCCGGCGCTCCATGCCACGCCTGGGGTGGTTTGTGCATTCATGCCGCGCAGGCAAACACACGCAAACTCATTGAACTCATCCAACAATTGCCCAATGGCGCAAGTCAACTGCATCATAAGATACATAATACAGATACAGACGGTAGACAAAGACGCATGCATATATCCGTGCATGCATGCACCGCAGCATCTGCTAAAAGAAACCCAGCACCCGACTCAGCCTGCTGACCTACAAGTTGCCACAAGCCCCTGTTTTCGAACCTTCCAGTGACTCCCGTCATGACTGCAGTCACTGCCCTGACAATTGACAAGATACATTACCAGCAAGCTTCTTCATCTGCGGGTCGGTCAGCGTTTTGTTGCACAGGGGCAGTGCGCTGTGCTTGCAGGCGAACTTCGGGTAGACATGCATACCCATCGATTGGAGGTATTCCTGATTCCAGTGTTGAAGGCCATAAGCTGAATGCTAGCATCAACAGTCAACATGCAGCACTCCCCAAACACATCACGGCTGTCCCGGCCTTGCCGATCATCATCCGTCCGGAAGCATCTGGAAGAATACAGTACATGTGCTGAGAACTGCCCTTTGTCAAGCAGGGCAGCAATCGAGAGCATATTGGTCGGAAATGCGGATTTTGCCCGAGGTTGCAGAACACGCTCTGCCCGGCAGACAGATATGGCTCAGCAAGGTCCTTGTAGCTCTGGAGCTGTGCTTCGCACCTTATCACTTCTCGCTAGTTCACACTGAACATAAGGAACATATGGAAAAAGCCTACCACCCGTCGCCCGCCTGCCAGCTGACGGAATACAGATTAAAAGACATCATGCATAAAGCAAACCCGATCAGGACCCCGGCTGGCCTGGTAACAAATGCTCGAAACCTGTCTCGATAGATTTCTTGGCCCGCTTCGCCATGGCCGATTGCACTGCAGCGAGCTCTTCCTGTCCGTAATTTCACCAATGACTAATGAGACTCATGACTCATGACTTGACCATTAACTAATGAGTCCACTGAGTAATAGTAATATATGTAGCTTAGTAAATGCAATCACCTCACACACGACACAAATATTATCAGATTTGATGATTTGCCATACAACAAGCAGGAGACAGGCAGAGGCAGAGTGAGAGAGAGGGAAGGAGAACTGAAGAGTATTGAAGGCCATTGAAGAAGGGAGAGTCAAAACCAGACCGGGAGATCGGGAGACAGTGGACAGGAGAAATAAACACGAGAGAGACTGCCAGGGGCAAGAGGGATTGCCGCTGCATCGTTGCGTTTGAGATGCGAGTGAAAGGCTCAAAGGCTCAAAGGCACTGGCACCAAGGCACCAAGGTTCATGAACTGCAAATGAATGACAGTCCCTGCGCCGGCCTTCGGCGCACAAAGAAAACATCGGCTCGAAGCAGTGGGTCGTCGATAAAGCTTTACAATGGCCTTCAGCTTGTCCAAAGCCAGGAAGCAACGGGACTTCCTCGTGAGTATAGTAAACTTCCTGCAGGGTTTGGCCGGGGAGACTTGCGACTCGCGACCAGTAACGATCCCCCAAGCAGAAGACGCCATCTGTAACGGTGACAACGATTACGTTACATGTTACTAGCATGCTACAGAGTGGCAGTGGTGGCACCGGAGCGGACCTTGCCTCCGCCTCGTTGATGGCCAACCGAAGAAGTTGGGCCCGATGTTGTGGGGGCAAGCATGCACTTCGTACAGATCTCCCAGATACTTCGACAGAATTTTTCTGTCGAAGCCGACAACGCACTCGTGCAGGACCACGTCCTGGGCAGCGGAAGGCACAGATATAAATCAATGATTGTCGTCGGAAATCAGAAGTAAACCATATCTGTCATCCGTCTCCGTACCACACTGGTTTTGTTTGCCAAGAATCCGGACAGGAATGCCGAATGCACGCCAGAAACATGGCCGTCGAGCGGCACGTTGCGCCGAGCAGATGCTGATGCGAACCTCAAATATCTGAAATCAAAATCAGAAAGATGATGTCCGCCCTGTGCCGCCAGTGCATGTCAGAGATTCATATTCATGACTCATGACTCATGACTCATAAATATTCATAACTCAGAACTCATAACTTACTCATACGGCCAGTCATATTGTCAGACACTGCATCAACCATATCAAACCGAGGCGCCCATGCTGGAAAAATCTACGCAAGGCGTGCCCCCTGCGCAGACACTGAGAACATATCGAGGGAGAGGACCGCTTTGTCGTCGACTCAGTCGTGCATGAAGATCTCCCAGTGGCGTTGGGCATTCCTAGAGGCCGACTGTGTGCTCAACATGGAGGGTTAATTACGACGAGATCACATGATACAACAGCAGTGGTACAATGGGAGTGCAGTGTGCAGTGGCAGTGACAATGAATTAAATGTCGTGATAGCTTCGAGTCCACCGACAAAGAGACGGGCAGTACATGCAGAAGAAGATTCTGGCTGCTCCATCAATGCATCAAACACTGCTGCAGATCCTCGAGCTCGCTTGGAGGCACGTGAAGGCGCCGGCTGCTGACATAACAGACATGGCGAACTCCACGTCATGGCATTTATGCCACCAAGTGCCTGCCAAACTTATT